AACCGCTCCGCTAGGGTTCCGGTGACGCAGTAGCAAACACTCTCATCAGGTCTCAAATCGAAAGGTCCCCTCCAATTTTTCATTACAGGATCGAAGGAATAGGTCACGCCGGAGAATTTCTCCGTCACGTGCATCATTCCTCCGGCCACCGCCACCGACAGCCACGAAGACGCCGTGGAGCCCTTCAGCAGCGCCGGCATGGACTCGCACGTCTCCCACGCGCGGCTCTGCGCGTCGTAGACCTCCACCGCGAGCGGGTCGTTCTCGAACTCGCACGCGCCGCCGGACACCACCACGCGCGTCCCGACGCGCGCGACGATGGGGTCGGTGCGCCACACGCGCGGGGCCGGCGCGTGGTGCCAGTGGAGGTGGAGCGCGTCGAGGGAGAAGGCGAACTCGGCGGGGGTGAGCGTGTAGAGCAAGGTGGAGTGGGAGGAGCGCACGGGGGAGGTGTGGGACGTGGCGCTTTTTATCTGGAGCCACACGTGCGAGCGGGGGTCGTAAGCGTGTAGCGTTGTCACGTGCGAGGCGCGGGGGCTCTGAGTGAGGACTATGAGCCATGGCTTTATGGGGCTGATGTGGGCGAGGGAGGAGAACACCGCACGCTTCCAGGACTTTGACACGTGGGAGGCTGGCACGAGGTGGATGAGTGGCACGTGGGAGAATATGGCCTCTAATATATCGCCGTGGATGGGTGCTTCTTCTGGTGCCACTGCCAATGCCATGGGTGGTGTAATAAGCAAAATATGTGGTGTGTTTGTGTTTGTGATAGTAGTAGAGTGAGAGGGAAACGGGAGTTAAGGGTTTATATAGAGGGTGGAAAAAGAGAAGTGAAAAAATAGGTCCCACGTTATCCAATGGGTGCGTGCCACCTCTTTTGTCTTAGAATGTGGTATTGGTGAAGGATGGGGACCTCTCACTCTAATCAAAATTTCGTCTGAATTGGTTCACTACTTTAGTGAATCTCTTTCAACATTGATTTTCCACAATTATATCAATCTCGAAACTGTACAAATTGTGTGCCATCTCTAGGGTTTACTATTACTAAGTTTTCAATATTTATATGAAAACAATGTTTAAGGAAAAAAACTAACTTATGATAGCATGGTTTTGTGCCGGGAATTATGTTGTAATTACCCAAAAGGAAACGTTAATTTTGTATAATTAAGATGAGACTCAACTATGGTAGCACTATGATGACGATACTTGAATTTGGGTGATGGCATAATATGATACGGCTACGGCACTAGCTGAGGTGGACTGATGGTATTAATGGCCACCATAAGTTCGCCACAACAATAGTGGCATGTTGCGGCGACGAAAAAGTACGGGTACTTGTGGAATTTTTTTACGTAAATAGAATTTTTTTAAAAAAAATTATAAAAACAGCATCTATTACGCTTTATTTACACAACTAACACTGATCACTGTTCACATTCAGAATTCGGTTTCCCAGGAACCGAATTCTGAGCTTCAAATTTTTTTTTTTTGTGTGATTAGAATTCGGTTTCCGGGAAACAGAATTCTGAGTTGTTTTTAATTTTTTATTTTTTATTTTTGCATTTGTGGCCCAGTGTGCACGCTTTTTGGAAGTAGAACGAGCCGTTCTGGAAGCAAAACAGCCCGTTCTGCTTAAACACATAGAGTGTTATTTTTGAAATTGGAACGGGCAAAGAACGGGTCGTTCCAATTCCAAAAATAACACTCCATGTGTTTAAGCAGAATGAACCGTTCTGTTTTCGGAATGGCCCGTTCCACTTCCAATATTCTCTTAGACTGGGCCACAAACGCAAAAAAAAAAAAATTAAAAACAACTCAGAATTCGGTTCCCGAGAACCGAATTCTGATAATAATAAAAATTTGACGCTCAGAATTCGGTTCCTCGGGAACCGAATTCTGAGTGTGAACAGTGATCAGTGCTAGTTGTGTCAATAAAGTGTAACAGATATTATTTTGGTAATTTTATTTTAAAAAATTCTATTTACGTTAAAAATTCGGTACTTGTGAGTGCTCTAGTTTTGTTTTTTTTTTCTTTCATAAAATATTTTAAAATTTGATTTAATCTTTTTTGTAAAAATTATTACATTTTTAAGTTCTTACAGTTATTAAAAATTTAAAATGATGTAATTTTAAGCTTTCGCCAGGAACTTATAATAAATGTTTGTGTTTAAATATAAGAATTAAAATATAAATATATTTCTAATTATTAAAAATGTCTTTTTTAATATCATATGATTTTCTCAGGATAAAATTATTTATTGTTTTAAAATATACCTTAACATTTTTATATAAATACAAAATAGAGAAAGGAGATTCTTTTCTTCTCATTTCATTTTAATTTGGGAGAAAACTATTTTAAGATGAGTCCGAATAAATATCTTTCTTTCTTTCTCCTCATTTCTCCCCTCAAATAAATGATTGGAAATAGTTTTTTTTTATTGTCATATTTTCTTCCTACGCCACTTTATTTTCACCAATTCCAGATTCTGACCACCAGTTGGATTCTAAAAACATTATTGTATCCTAAACAAAGTTGGAATTTTTTTTATGTCTTGTCCCTAGATGACAACTATCTATTTCTTTTGAAAAAAAGAAGCACGAGTTTAATGTTGCACCAGTAGCATTCTACTAACATCAATGGTCAATAATTTTTTTTAAATAAACTCATAATTGTCAAAAAATATTAGGTAATAGGCATTAAGCTATTGACATTTTTATTTTTGATTTTTAATTATTTTATACATCTAGAATTATTACTATAAGTTGATTATATCTTAAATTTTACTTTAACTTTAATGTATGTTAAATTTTAAGATAAAAAATACACTGACATTTTTTGCGGTTTGTTAGAAGTTAACACGTTATTCTTATTTTTTTTTTTTTAACATCTATAGTAAAAGCATATTGTATTTAATATTTATACTGTATATCTGTATGACTTTTTTTTTGTGAATAAAACAGTATAAGTGTGATAATAGTGCACTAATTTTTATAACTTAATCACACTCATCAATGGTTGAACTTGAATGTGATAGTTGAATTATGGTGATAACACAATAATTATGTCGCACCCATTGTGATGTTATATATAGCAACAAAAATTTATTGATTATACTTTATAGTTGATGATGTCGACGTGAGATGCAGATTAACTCTTACCATGTTTTTAATGAGTGGTGTATATTTTTCTTTTTGATGAATTAACTTTCCATTTAAAATAAATACAAAAGTATAGTAATTCTATGACTATGAGTTTAATTTTTAGAGAAAAAAATCTATACACGGATACGATAAAACATTTTTATATTATTATTTAATCATAAAAATATTATATGATTAATTTATTAATTTTTACAGTAATTATATTAGTATAATAAGAAAATTATTATTTAATTACGAATTATATATGAAAATTTTATTAAATTTAAAATAATCACATTAAAAGACAAATCAATTATATTTTCTAATGAGTTCACTGTAAAAATATAGTACACTAATAAAAATACCTAAACTTTTTTTATATATTGTGGGTATAAATTATTTACAAAATCAATATAATAAATAATTATAAATATAATCTTTAAAATAATTATTGTAAAAATTAAAAAGATTATTATACATAATATTTTATGATGAAAGTACGGATGGGAAAAAAACCCGCACCCGCGGGTATCTACAGGTAAAATCCGCTACGGATAATAAATGGATAGATTAATTGGGTACCCGCAGATAATGGGAACGAATACTTTTTTACCCATTTATAAACGGAACAGAGGTAGGTATGATGATATTCATACCCGCAGGTACCCATTTAATAATATTTCTTAAATATCCTAATTATCATTATATCACATAACCCTAAAACTACACTCTCTCATCTTTGTGATATGAGATTTTCACTTGTGAGATTGATGTATTTTAAGTTATTCATTATCTTGCATTTTTATTATTATTTCAACAAAATTAATGTTAAATACAAGTTCAAAATTAACATTAAATTTTTATTTTTAATATTTCAATGACATTAAATATAAACTTCAAAATATTTGTAATATAATTTTTAATTTCTTAAAAAATTTATAAATATTCATAGATATTCGTGGGTGTTCAAAAAATTCATGAATACCTGCTTAATGGATACACACGCGAATATAGAGTAAATATGGGACCAATTTTCATCTAGCAGGATAAGAATGAATTTACTATTACCCGCCCCATGAACCCCACTGTCAGTATAAAAATCTTTAATATTTCATTTATGTTTGATATGATCTAAACATATTTAATTTAGTCTGTTTTTAATCTAAACAAAATGTTCTTTTTTTATAGTAACATGACTGGTTAGGAACTTATAAATTCATTTAATTTATAATATATTTAAATAAACTTCTTCATAGCATTTATAAAAGAAAAAAATAACATTTATAAAAAAAAAGTATGAAAGAAAAATAAAATAAGTTTCTTTATAAATTAAAGTAATTTATGTATAAACTAAATTGTTAAAGTTTTCTATTCTAATTTTTATTTATTTTTAAATTAATGTGTAAACTAATTTTAATTCTATTTTTTTATTTTACTTCTTTTAGGTGCACTTTTAGAGAAGCTTATCATAACAAAGTCTTTGGTTTAACATGATCTTAACATATTTATTGGATTAAGTTAAGTTGGGATTATATATATATATATATATAGGTCTTTGGCCCCCTCACTCCTAACTTTTTTATAGTTTATTTTTTGTTTAAATATGTTTTTAATCTTTATAATTTTTAAAAATTTTGTTTTAGTCCTTCAAATCATTAATAACATATATGAAAATAACTAATTAAAACGGTTATTGTAACGTAGTTTAAAAAAAAAATGGTGGCTAATTTAGTAGCCCGGAACGGGCCGTTCCCAATCTAGAACGGGCCGTTTCAAACTATTAAATTAAACTGAAATTCGTGGTTGGGAACGGGCCATTCCGGAGGGAGAACGGGCCGTTCCAAATTCCAGAGCGGGCCGTTCTGGTTGGAGAACGGGCCGTTCCGGAAGGAGATCCTTAGCAATTGAAGAAAAAAAAAACTAGACAAAAATTGGCAAACTTTCAATAATAGACATTTGAAAATTGCTAGTTGGTACTTGATTCCTTCGTGCATGACATGAAATCAACTCAAATCACTGGCAGCCCTATTGAACGAAGCAATACTCTACACCAAACGTATGTATGATGCACAACCCTTCTTTATCAGAGAAACTGCAATCAACCCACCACTCCTTTTAAACCAAGCAGTACTCCACACCAAACCAAAGCAAGGACAGTATCATACGCAACCCCTCTTTTATCACAAAATCTGCATCCCAGGAATCTGTCTCCACAATAAAAAATAATAACAATAATCAATAACAACTATTAAATTAAAATAAACAAGTTTAGATTAAAAAATTATAAATAAAGTTACCACATTATTATACTTTTACCAAATAAAATAATATATATATATCATTGTTACTAACATCATTGTAATTGTGATCACCCAGTCATATTACTATTATTTCTTTTATCATTTTTGCTTCCACCACTAACAATGTTACTGTCGTATCACTATCATTGTTATTATTATTTATTTGTAATAATGTTAGTTTTATTTATAATCTTTTAATTTAAAAATTATTATTAATTATTCTCGTATTTTGCTGTAGAATGCAAGTAAGACAATATGTCAAGTAGGATTTCTAATTTTCTTTTAGACTGGAATTGTCTCGTCAATGCATGGAATATTCAAACAAATACTCTCTGCATGCGAGTGCTGATAAAGTAGAAATT